GAGCGCTGTCGAAATATACTCTTTATTTTAAAATTCTAACATTATTAAAAATACTTATATTGTATTGCCTTTATATTTACTTTATTTGCTAATTATTCGAATGTATAATATGTTTTAGTAATGGCCAAATATAACCAAGTATAAAAAAAAAACATAATTTATTTCATTCATGACTTCACATTGGAATCATTGTCATTAGGGTATTCAGCACGCGACGTGTGAACGATTTTTGGGAGCCTCAGAAATTTTGCGATTGAACAGGATAAATATTTTTATATTTATTGTATTTTAAATATATGGATTTAAAAATATGTGGTATTTTTATATAATACGTATTATATTAACATTATATAAATATATTATCATAACATAAATTAAATTTATATAAATATTTGTATATTAACTATTTTAATTATTTAGAAAAAAGAGAAACGTAAAGGGGAAACAAAAAACTTATTAAAAATGAATTGTAAGCGACACCAATCAATCAGTTATATGCCAGCTATATGATATAGTCGTCCGATCCCGGCCGTTCCGACGTATATACTGCGTGCAAAGGAAAGAAAGGTGTGTGCAACGTTTCAATTCGATATCTTTAAAACTGAGAGACTAGTTCGCGTAGAAACAGGCAGACGGACAGACAGACGGACAGACGGACATGCTTATATCAACTCAGGAGGTGATCCTGATCAAGAATATATATTCTTTATAGGGTCGGAGATGTCTCTTTCACTGCGTTGCACACTTTTGACCAAAATTATAATACCGTCTGCAAGGGTATAAAAATATAAAAAAACGCTTTTGACAACTTGGAAAAAAGTTATAAATATAATATGTATGTACGTAATATTAAATATAAATCGGATATCCTGTAGCTTAGTTTTCGTGTTGTTATAAATAGTTTAACTTTTTATAAAATAATAATATTAGCTTTAAATAACTTTTTATAAATCAATAATATTAGCTTTAAATATTTATTAGGTATACAAAAAAAACGATGGATAAATAAAAATGAATATCTACATAACAAATTAAATTAATTATAAAAACATACCTTTTAACACAAAACAAATAAAACTGCTGGACTAAATTAGAATAGATTTAAATGCAGGCCATGGATTAAAAAATAAAGCGAAATATATTTAATTAAATATCCTTTAAATATATTCAATTTAAATATAGTTCGCTTTGTTTTTGTTTAACAATCATAGTATATTCAAATCTATTAAACTTTATTGATATATTTATACCCGTTACTCTGTCCGTATGAACGCTGAGATCTCGGAAACTATAAAAGCTAGAAGATTGGCATTTTGCATGTAGATTTTAGGAGTTTCTACGCAGCGGAAGTTTGTTTCAAAATGGTGCCACGCCCCCTCTGACGCCCACAAGCCACAAGCTGTGGCCACAGTTTTGATGATATTATGAAAATTTTAATTGATATGTATTTGTTTCGTCAATAAATATCGATTGGCCTAATAAAAGTTTGCCACGCCCACTCTAACGCCCAAAAACTCATTAAACGCTTAAGCCTGGCTAGCACCTACATTTCCGCCTTTCATGGCGCCACCTAACGGATGACTTTGGAACAGCTGGCCAAGGTGCTCAACAGAGTCAACGTTAATTCTCGATAAGGATTGCTCCGGGTCTTGGAGCACGAAAAAAGCCTATTTTCGTGAATTTTTTTAAAAGATCTTACGACAATTTCAGAAATTTCGTTTATTGTACATTAATGTTTATGGTTTGACCAACATTTTGTAAAAATTTGAACCAAAAATTTTTAAAATTGAGCCGTTGAGGCAGGCTTGAACTTGACCTCTTAAAAAATTGTGTCCTTGCGGTAGGCAAAATATCTCCGTCAATTTTTATCTGAAATCAAAAAACCGAAATAATTCTGATAGTGTATGTGTCTCGCTTGTCCTCTACGAGCCATTTTTTTTAAAATTAAAAATTAAATTTTTTGTAGCGCTTTTCATAAAAAGTGTCTTTTTTTACGTAAATTTTTGCCATATTTTGTCTTAAAAAATCCCTCCGTTAAGAGATGTCTAAAAGAAGTGTGCAAAACCAGAAGTTGATCGGTGCAATAGTTTTTGAGAAATCGTGACTACCGACTTCAAAAAAGTGGTTTTGAGAAAAACGCGTTTAAAGTGCTGCATCTGCCCGACGCCAGAGCCCGAATTGCCCGTTGTGACGTTCGACACGCTGGGCTTTAAATTTCTCCCATTCCTACATTTTTGCTTCGATCAACTTGAAATTTTCAGACAGCATTTCTGAAACTTTGTACTATTATATAAAAAAGTTTGAAAAAAATGAATTTTTTGAAGTGTCAAGACCCGGATAACCCCTTAAAGGAAATTGCGATGGTTTTCATTTGTCAATACCGAACTATATCCCAAGAACTATGCAAATCAAATCTAGTTAGCCAAATTGGAGGTCTGAGTCAAACAATGGCGTATGTGTGTATGTATGTAAGCATATACAAATGTATGTATTTACATTGTACACAGTTGCAATTGCCCGGCAAAGATAACTCCTTTCAAAGAAAGCTATTCGCTATGCCCGTTACTCGTGTTGTGCAAACATTTAGACTTTAATATACATAATACTATTTAAGAATGTATGTGTTTAGCCCATATAAGTATGTATGTTTAATATTTTTAGTCAATTTATTGCACTCAAAAACATAAACATAAACACAGCTGCTGGTGCAGGACAAAAGCTGCCTGCGCTAAAGCAGCGCTGGTGCTGATGCTCGTGCTGTAAAGCTGCCAGCACTAAGAGATCGCCGAATTCAAATTGATAATTTGAACTTTTTGTCTTTTTTTCCTGTGGTCACTATAATTCACATTATGTTAAAAAAAAAAAAAAAAACAAGAAAGAAAAGCTAACTTCGGACGGAGCCGAAGTTGATATACCCTTGCAGAATATTCTGTTAATTATATTCTCCAAAACTATTTATATGATGCATTCTTAATACTCATAAAAAATTCCGAACTTCTTAACTTTAAAAACACCAAAGTTATGGCATTTCCGATCGTTCAGTTATATGGCGGCTATGGGATATAGTCGGCCAATCCTTAAGATTGGCCTACCTTATTTGGTAGGTCGGATTGATTGCCTAAATATAAAACCCATAGTAAATCCCAGCTTCCTAACTTTACAAACACCAAAGTTATGGCATTTCCGATCAATCAGTTATATGGCAGCTATAGGTTATAGTCGGCCGATCCCGGCCGTTCCGACTTATATACTGCGTGCAAAGGAAAGAAGGGTGTGTGCAAAGTTTCAATTCGATATCTTTAAAACTGAGAGACTAGTTCGCGTAGAAACAGACAGACGGACAGACAAACGGACAGACGGACATGCTTATATCAACTCAGGAGGTGATCCTGATCAAGAATATATATTCTTTATAGGGTCGGAGATGTCTCCTTCACTGCGTTGCACACTTTTGACCAAAATTATATTACCCTCTGCAAGGGTATAAAAAACACAAGAAGACATATTTACATATATTAAGTTGTTTAGCTGAGTAACGGGTAACTAATAGTCGAGGCACTCGACTATAGCGTTCTCTCTTGTTTTAAATTTAATCAAGCAGTTTTATATGATAATATGATTTATATAATTTAAATATGTAAAACGAAACTAATGAATTAAATACGCAGATATTCATTTTTAAGGTAAATAAAAAAGTTTTACATCAAGCTTCATTGCCATATATACATAAATGCAATTTAAATAAACATCCTGTTCAATCATAGAAGTTCTTTTGACACACAATTAGTTTCTTAGTCCAGAAATGATTTCTGGACGTAAATCGTCTTCTCGAACAAATACGCACACATACGCACTTCCTTATTCGTGCAATTCTCTTTTTAGATCTTTACGCTCTCAACTTTGTGCGAGCGGAGAGAGCGGAATTTTCGTCGCCACCAAAAAACGAGCTGCATATTGCAAAACCAATATGTGGGCGTTACGCATCTCAGAGATTATATTGGTCTTTGGTTTCTATGAAACTGTGGTAGAAAAAAGATTCTTCAATTAAGACTAATAATGGTAGACATTGGAGTCACAGCCGATCACCACACCTATCTTGTCCTCTGACCAATTGATCTGAATGTCCTTCTTTTTAAAGATATTTTCCCTACTTTTACACTTTTTTTTGAATAAGAACCATTGGCCGACAGTTGACCACCAAGTGTTCCCAGTTTTGGGCCCTTTCGGAAACGCTCTCTGTTCCTGCAACTGCTTTTGTACCCCTGTTATGAGTTTCGTTCTTTGTATGAGATCTCATCATTTTGTTTCCATACTTTGGAAGAGCAAGCTGTGAAGAATGGGGAAATGGATCGTAGTTCCGTGATGGCCAGGTAACGCAATGGAAACAAAGCGGATAAACCGTGAAGAAGCCATGCCGCCCTGTGCCCATGATCTTCACACGGCAAAAAACAACGAGGTAAACGGTAAATGGGCGGACTTTGGACCCGAAATTTTTAGCTTCGTATAACATCCGAAATCCTCGATTTAGAATACAAGCGAGAGTAGCCAATTAGGAGCGACTCCGCGGGAGTCACTGATGAGTAGATGTAAGGTGCCTAATAAACGATATTCTAGAATTCTCAGAAAACCCTTGCGTTATTTTTTGGTCAACAATACAATTTAGTGGAAAGAACCAAAAATTACTCTGAGTGCAAAAAGATTAAAAGAAAACTATGTTTAATTACATAGGTTTAAATATTTTGTTGGTAGGTTTTTTTATTTAAAAATAAAGTTTAAATACACATAAAACTATAAAGCGGCTGATGTTTTATTAAGTTAATTTATTAAAAAATGTATTTATTAGTCACTAAAAATTACAACAATTTTACATTCGAATTCTATGGGTCTTCTTACCCATATAAAGACTTTAACAATAAAAATAAAATATACATTAATAGAAGGCAGTTAAAATTATTTTTTCTTGGGCTTGATTGATGTTAACTTCATATTTATTTTTACAGGAGGACGAAGAGGAAATTGTAGACGATGAAGTCATTGAGAAAATCCTAAACGCAATGGATGCCTGCTTGCTGATATGCAACATTTATTCTACAGTAAGCGATCTTAAGTTTTTACAAGAGGATAATATATCACACATTATAAAATTTACACAATTTCAACTACGTGAAACAATATTTCCTCTTCATGATCCGGTTTACACTGTAAAAAGTATGAAGAAAACTAGTCATCGTAAAAAAATAAAGTCACACCAAGGTCACAGTAGAAGCCTGCAGCTATTCTACTCAAAAACGGTCGAGCTGTTAAAGGTTTTTGTAACACTTTTTGATAAATGTGCCTTCGTTGATACAATAGTTTTACCATTGTCGACGTTGGCTATTGAACCATTCTTTGTTGACAACATAGAGACGTTACAATTTGTATGTTTGGAACTCGTAACCACAGTAAGTACTTATCATTAAATTTTATATACCAACCTAAAAGGCATGTTTGTTTAACTATTTACATAAAACTATTCAAATCAAATTTACAAATCTTGCCTATTAGAAATGTATTAAAACTTTGGCCTGGTGAGGCTAGTTTCCGTTTTCCTTTTTATACCCTTGCAGAGGGTATTATAATTTTAATGAAAAGTGTGCAACGCAGTGAAGGAGACATCTCCGACCCTATTAAGTATATATATTCTTGATCAGGATCGTGTCCTGAGTTGATATAAGCATGTCGGTCTGTACGTCTGTCTGTCCATCTGAAACATTGCACACACCCTTCGATTCTTTGCACGCCGTTTGTAAGTCGCAGTATATAAGACTATATCCTATAGCCGCCATAAAACTGATTGATCGGAAATCGGCTCCGCCCTAAGTTAGTATTCCTTTCTTGTTATTAATGAATCATTTTATAGAAACGATGTTTTCGGTTTTAGTCATGAGCCGAAAATAACGGTTTTATTTTTAATGGCTCTTTAAATCATATCTATGAATAACAATTGATAAAAACCATTTTTAAGTCCACATATTTATACCCTTTCAGAAGGTATTATAAAATTGATCAGAAGTTTGTAACGCATTGCAGTATATGTCGCAGATTCTCTCGGATTGTCTCCCGTTAGAGGTTGCTCTTGGTGCTGCTCCAATTTATTGGATTCGGTACTAAATCATCTTCTAGTTGAACCTAAAAAACCTTAAAAAAGTTATGATTAACCCACTTTTTAATTTGCGAAATTTTTTAGAATTTCTCACTTTTTGTTAATTTTTTTTTGGTTTAACTAGAATCTATTCGATTAAAAATAAAATATTTTGTTTGCATTTTTTTTTTCTGATGGAAATTGCTACTGCATCTTTCCCGCCGCACGACACATTCACACTCGAGGCGCCTCGGCGAAATGCTTGTATCAGGCATAATGAAACAATTTGAAAATACTGTTGAAATATATAACAATAAAACCTGAAAGTTTAGTTTCAATCGATTATCTCTTTCTTTCTTCCCAAAAAAAGTCCTCAGAAAAATCGATTTTTTTAAGCTTTTAAAGTAGACTTCGCCCTTAACTAAATTCGTATAAATTCAAAAGTTTTACCCGAGTCTTTATAATTATAAAGCAAATCGAACTCAAACTTTTTTAATACTCAATCAAAAGCCAAGAGATCCGGATTACCATCAATTCAAGCAACATTAATTTTCCATATACATATTTATCTTCATTTTCTTTTCCAGCAAATAATCACATTGTTATAGCAACAATCCTTTTTCTTAACTATAAACTGATGAAACAGATCAATTCACGATTTCTCATTTCGACCAACCGGGCAACAAATACAACATAGTGGAATCAACCTTATCTCGATCAAACAAACTGAAATCTCCGATCTGTCCGAAGATTACGTCTAGACCATAGCGATCCACATAACTCGAGCACCATCCTTTACAGAAAAAAACGTGTATAGTTAATTCGGTGCAAAATCGGTAATTTTTAAAAAATTTTATTGGCTCAATTTTTATGCATGTGATAGGCCAACATTTAAACAACATGTGTGAATTTTTTCATCCAAAAATATTAAAAATTGAGTGAGATACCGGCTGCGCCTCGAAGAGAACACGTTTTGCGGTGTACACGATAACTGGTCACAGAATCATCTGATTTGAAAAAATCAAATTGCATTAGTTAAAGGACAAGATTCCTCAGGTAACGCTGTCGAGTTTTTTTTTTTTTTTTTTCGATTTTTTAAGGCATTTGAAAGTCAAAAACCCCCGAGTTTCGCCCAAAAAGTCGAGTGATTTGTTGCTCTAAAAATAATACATTAAAAAAAAATCGGGCGGTGAGGCTAAGTAACTATCGGACTGCCCTCGTAGGCCTTTGCCCGGAACGGTGAAGGCCGGGAATTGGCGCCTATCCTTGGCCATGGGTATCTGCCAATAAATGTAAATGTCCCGGGCTCGACGTAGTCTTTCCAGAATGTGGTTGATCTTGGGGCCACGTGTGATACACCTCACAACTCACGGGTGATGAATTCCCGCTGGTCGGGTCTTAGGTCATCCTCTTCTCCACCCTCTGCTTCGTGGCCCTTCCCGGCCGTCGCACCTTCTTATATCGTCTCCTCCTGTTGAGCTCATCTGACGCATGATCTGGTTGTGCGTGGGGACCTCACTCTGCTTTGTATACATAGTGTCCTTATCATCGGATTCCTGATTCCCTAGAACCGTCATACACCTACCTTCGAGTACTTCTGGGTTCGTATCCTCTGACGACATCCGATCGATTTTACTTGGTCGCAGTCGGGGGTCTTCCGCCGACAGGCTCAATTTTACCTTTAGGGTGGCTTCTCCACACTGTATCCGTGTTCCCATCGCCGTCAAGAAATTCATACCTAATATCTTGCGATCCAACATGGTTGGCATCACCAAGAATGGCATCATCCATCGCGTGACAGCTAATTCCACGCGAGTACGCCAAAACTTCTTCACTTTGGCTTGACCGATCAGCTAACGCTATTGTAGTGATGATCTCTTGCATCTCCCCGGGTTTGGCTACCATACGAGCGTACCCTTTGCTCGCAAAACTCCTCGACGCTCCCTCCGATCTGCACGGTAGCAGTGATCAGGCCGTTGCTTATCCTTAATGGTGGGTGTCTTGGTGTCTTGCCGCATCTCAGCGAAGACGTTGTTCGTTTTCCGGGGCATCTCGGCGACAACAATCGACGGTAAATATGTCCATTCGACCGCAGTCCCAACAAAAGTTCGGGCATGCATTAGTACAACCCCGCCTAAAGTGACCGACTACTACAAGCTCGCTGTACGTCGATGTTTGTTAGGGGCTGTCTCATCATTCGATGAGTTGCATTTCCTCCTTGAATGGGTACCTCGGGGCTTCGAAAGGGGTTCGGCGTCCGACGAGGGTTGGTCCTATCCCAGTCTGTAGACCCCATCCTAGGAATGCCTGCGCGACTCGACGTCAGCTGTCTCACACTTTCATATTCAGTCGCCATGTGGGTTAATTGTTCCAGCGTCTCGAACTCTTATATACAGACGATATTCTGGTGCCATATTTCCGTAGATCCGATAGAGTTCTTCTTGCTTTTGGTATCCGGCTTGCTGCATCTTGGTCCTCAACTCAGCCAAATACTCCTTAAATTTCTCGTCCACTCCCTGGTTATGGGCTCGGATTTCGTCCTCTAGTCGACCGAAGTAAGGGGCAGGAAGAAACTCAAGAACTCGGACCGAAACTCTGCCCACGTAGCCGTCTGTAAGCGGCTCGTGCGGAACCATCGTGCTGCCCTACTTTCCAAAATCTCTGTCATGGCGCGGGATACTTCCTCCTGGTTTATTCCGTATGTTGCTATTTTCTACTCAAGTTCGGCGATCAAGGTCAGCGGGTCCGACGCTCCGTCGAATCGAAGATTCCATTTGTGCATCCGCTCGGCTAGCAAATGTCGGGGCAGAGTGATGGTGAGTGGAACTTCTGACTCTGGTGGCTTCGACACGCCGTGGCTTCCGAGTGATGGGGCGATAAAATCTCGTGACGTGCCGGGGTGGACTCCTCGATAGCTTGTCAGTCTTTCGGGAGAGGCATAGCCGGCGAAATATGGAGCCTGACTCTGGCTAACTTGGGTCATTTTGGCTCCTGGCTTAAACTCTTTGTCGCCTCCTAGTCGGTTGGGAGTTACAGCTCTTGAGCTGTACTGCTCCTTTAGTTGAGCGAGTCGTTTCCACACCGACTCTGGAAACGATCCTGTACTCACGAGTGTTGCGAATGCCTTCTGCGTTTCTGCTACGGTGCCGTCGGCGCTGAACCCGAACTCGAGTGCTAGAGCGGCTAGCTCATTTTTACGGCGGGCATAAATCCATCGTACTCTTATGCCTGGGTTTTCAATCGAATCGGCTTCTTTATACTCGTCGTCGGACACCTTCGTATCTGCCATGGTTTATTGTATTACGCGGAACTCCTTCACTTTCCTTTGCAATATCGATCCTCTACTTTTCCTTCTCCTTTTGCTCTATGCAGTCCTTCGCTCTAACAGAAACATAAAGATCTTTATCTAAGTGGGTCTTTAGGCCACTTTGGTGTTGCTCTAGTTTGCCTCAATGTCCCTGCTCGGGCGCCACTTTTAAGGATGCTTTCTGGTCGGGATACAAATCTCAGTCGGATCCAGAGGTCCTTAAATTTGAAAAATCACTGAGACTCTAGGCTAGAAAACGCGGGCGAACGATGATTTTCAATCAATCATCCCGTAGATTCACGCCTATCCGCTTGAGGGGGTATTCCAGGACCTTCGATGTTTTGGTAACTTTGGAACGTTAAGTCCTTTTGTGACAGAAAATTCCACGGGCTGGACCTTCGGGCGAGGACGCAGCCGGAATCTGTTGTGATTGGCCGAGGTACGAGGGTCGTGAGGCCAAAGATTCCACGGGATGGACATTCGGTCGAGGCCGCAGCCGGAATCTGTCGTGAAGCTGAGAATCCTACGGGCTGGACCTTCGGGAAGAATAGGTAGGAGAGTGAGGGGATCTTCCGCCTCACTGCGCAGGTAGGTTAGTGGATGAAGGTCAGAAAATTGTGATAATAAATGTATGTGGTGTATATAATTTTACCGCTCCCAATTGGATCGCCGGATACCGGCGTTGTCGTTTTGCATATATGTATGTATTTCACTTGGTTTTATCACTAACCATACAACATATAGACTGGTCATTTCATACAACCAAAATGGACACTCAAAATATTTTTCGGGAGGCCCCACAGCTGGTAGCGGCTGGCCCCGGACACTTCGTGCGCCTTCGGGTTTTTTTCGCTCTCATTCTATTCTCATTTTGACGCTCGCGCGCTCATTGCACGAGTTCGGTCGTTCAGTCGCAGATACGAAGGTTGTCGCCCTGCTCTTGAATTGGTCTTTGTATGTATGCGTGTTCATGCATTCTCATACAGGGGTGCATGTGTGCGAACATATTATTT